GGGAGCCCTCGCGAAGCCGCCTGGCGGAAGAACAGCGAGAGATGCGGGAGGCTGGGAGCCCCCTCCCCACCCAGGCCTGCCCGGGGCGAAAGTCGGCCGGATGCCCCCCCCCCGAGCTGCCCTTGCGTCCGTCGGGGGTCCGCTGCGGAACACGCCCTTCTGCCCGCGCAGCGCCCTCCCACCCGCCCTTCACAAGCCGCACGCAGCGGGGCGGGCGTCCCCGGAGCCTCGAGGAGGAGGCGGCGGGAAGAGGGGCGCCGAGACGGAGGGAGGCGGGCCGCCGGAGGGCGGCGCGGGGGCCGCGAAGGGGCCGCCTGCTCTTCGGGCAGAGGCGCTTTGCTCCGGGGCGCCGCGAAGGGGCCGAGCGCCCCCTCGTGGCCGCAGAGCCCGCGCGCGGCTGGGGCGCCGGGGAGGCCGGCGGATCGCGGCGCTGGGGGCGGAGGATGGCGGCGCGGCGCTGCTGCGGGCGGCGGACGCGTCCCCCGGGCGCCGGCCTTCGCCGCAGCACTCGACGGCCCGCCCGCCCGCCCGCCCTCGGTCCGTGCGCCGCGCGGGTGTGCGCCCCGCATCCGCCCGCCCGCAGCGCGCCAACCGGTTCGTGCTTCATTGATCGCCTTTTGGTTTGCATTCATAAACAGAACCGACGAGAAAGCGCTATGCAAAATATTGTATGCGTTATCATGGACTACATTATAAAAGTGTTTTGAGATTATAATAGGTATAGTATTTATTATTATTTTCATTATTATATCTATAGAGTTGCAATCGTCAGGAGATACCGTCTAGCATTGCAACAACGTTTTGCAGCCTGCCAGTCAAAATGGCAGCCGATAGTTTCACGCTGACACTGATTTCTGAAATGGATCACAAAGCAGCCCAGTAAGTATGAGCTGGATCATTACAGGAATATTGAGGCACTGCGGCCTCTTGGCCTTCTAACAAGTCAGTTTCAGCACGAAATGATGGTGAGTGGGGCGCTTGCCCTCGGGCACAGTAAATCTCGCCCGCCCTGCAGAGGAAACCTGCTTCTGAACGGTTCAGAGAAGGAGGCACCGGCGCAATAGGTTGCGGGCCACCTGCAGAGGGGCCGCCACCCTCCAGCGAAGAAAAGACATCCAACAAACCGAAGAGAAATAATACATGGAAACCAAGCTGAAGAAATACCTAAAGAGAAAACATTCTGCTTTCAACAAGGTAGCAGCAAAATTCATTGTAACCGGGCCCTCCTCAGTCTTTGATTGCATCACTAAATATTGAGGCCGGATAGTGCAAACCAATTGGGAGACAGAAAGGCAAAGGAGAAGCTGCCCGGACGGAGAGCGAGTGCTTCGGACGCCCGGTAACTGACGCGCCGTCCGTGCGGCGCTGCGTCTCGCCAAACCGCTCCCGCCGCCCCGCGCCCCCCCCGCCGCCCCCCGAGACTGCCCCGGCGCCGCCCGCGGGCGCCCCCCGGGCTCGAAGGCGGGCGCCTTCCCGACGGAGAGCGGCCCCGACCCCCGGCGCCCCGCGGCGGGGCGGGCGAAGCCGGTGCGGCCGGTCAAGCGAGGCTGCAGGAGCCCGCGCGGCGCCCGGGACCAAACCGCCGCGCGGCCGTCGGGAAGCGCGTCCCGAAGAGGCGCGACGGGGCAGCGGGGCGAGCCTTTCTCCCACTTCAGGGGGCAGCACAGCTGGCGGCAGGGCTGCGAAGAGTCCGCGGGCTCCCGGGTCCAAATGCAACTTTTCGAAAGCCGAAGCAAACAGACTTGCTGGCCTTCCTGTCCGTCCAGGGTGTTGGCCAAGCCCTCCTCCAGCACCATGTTCCGGACGCATCCATTCTTTTCCCGTCCTCTTTCTTCACTGTCCCGCTCTTACATCGTGCAAACGATTCAGCCCGGTCTCCCAGGAAACAGCCTTACACTTCAGGGGACTTTTCTAGTCCCTTCTTGCTGCCCTTCCAAGTCTCCAACTTCTTGACTGCAGCCTCCCTTTGAATGGATGGATGAGAGCACCAACGTTTACAAAACTTTGCACAATTTCAATTACTTCATTGTCAGTAAGACATTCTGTAATTCTTCTGTGGACATGAATTTTGTTTTCCTAATTTTCAGCTGCAGTCCTGCTTTTGTGCTTTCTTCTTGCACTTTTATCGGGAGTCATTTCGGGTCATTTCTGCTTCTGCCCAGTATCATCTTCATATTTTAATTTAGTGAGGTTTCACCTGCCACTTTCCATTCCTTCCTCTGATTCTAATCTCGCTTTCCTTATGGTATGTTTTGCAAATGGACTGATCAGACAGGAAGATAAAATACATCTTTGTCTGACACCTTTGCCTGTGGGAAACCCTTCTGCCTGAACTGTACCTGCTTGGCACCATGCAGGTTGCCCACCACGTGCTGAGGGACACCCATTTCTTTCAGGACCGTGAGATCCATGATCGCTGTAGCCCAAGCTGCTCTTCTTGCAGGATCCTCTGCCACTCCCCCGCAGCCCATGCATCTTGGCAATCTGATCCTGAGTGCCTCTTCCGCTCCGGAATTCAGCTCGGAGGTCTGCCATTTTGCCATTTCCCAGGCCACATGGGGCCGTATGCTTTGTCGCAGCACTCTGGGTGTCAATTCCTTGTGTGGGAGGCCAGTGCAACTGTCCCGCTGTCGCCGCATTCCCTTGCCTCTCCGGAGGCTCGGAAGACGGAATGTTTCCGGTCTGTGGGCCACTGATTTATTTTCCATAATTGTTGCAGTGTTTTTGTGAGTATTCAGACTGAGTCATTTTCTATCCCAAGACTAGGCTTAAAATGGATGGGGAAGGAGCAAAATATTCAGTTTGTCCTGTACTACCTGGATCTGAGAAGTTGCCGCACAATCTGGCATTCCAGCACCGGAGTCCAAATGATCAGAGTGATACGGGGCAGTCAGTGCCAGCAACCGGTGGACTTAAAGCAGGTTCCTTTAGCGATATCCTGCTTGCTGCTTTGTGAGAACCTCTCACGCAGGCGCTGACCACCTCAGAAGTCCAGATTCCCAGCCCATCCGCATGGAAAACATTTCAGGAATGGGGGGGGGGGCACTCAGTTGTACGTATTTTCAGGCTACTTGAGCTAAGACAACAATAACACAACCAGAGAGCGAACTGGCGCGCCAGGCTCTGGCTGTGTCAAAGCAATGCCACCTCTGCCCATGAGTGACTTCCTCCAAACTGTAGTGCCTCTCGGGGCCATCAAGGATTCAAGCCCCCCCCCCCATCCTGTGGGCTACACGGGGGGCCTTCACCAGTCCAGAGGCAACACCAAACAGCGACGGGGGCTTTCACTGGCACCCACCGCAGAATGCGGCCAAAGAAGCGGTCTTCGTTGTGGGGGCGGGGAGAGCGGCAAGGGCAGGCAGTGCCCGTCTCTCCGCCAGAAACTCGGCCTGGCATGGCACAGGAGCATCAAGGCTGGGAACGAGCCCCTGAACCTTGTGCCAGCGCACTGCAATCCAGCCTTTTCCAGCCCGATGCACTTCAGGTGCCCTGGACTCCAGCGTGCAGCGTAAGAGCAGGCCAGCTCAGCTCCCTGCTCCGGTTTCCCTCCCCTCCCTCGAGCATGTGCTGGATGTTTGCGGGTGCTGATGGGCGGCTGTGCTGGGGGGCCCTCGGGGCGAGATCTGCACTGTCCCCCAGCAGTCGTGCATCTGTGCGCTCGCGTGGGTGGGAGGCCCCCCAGCGCCGCTCGCACTCACAGGGATCTCACGCAGCTGGAACCCGGGCGAGAACCCCCTCGTTGCTGACGAAAATGGGGGAATGTGTGGGGACGGCTTGGGCTCCCACCAGAAGCCGTTCAGGAGAGCGGTGCGTCATGTCCTGGCTTCCCGTTTGCTCACTCGTTCGCACAGGGCACACAGCAAAAGTCAACAAGCTCAGGTGCGGTGGCTGCCTCTGCACGCCGGTCCGTGCGTGTCACTCTGATTACAGCACTGGCCAAGCCTTGTCGTGCTTATCGCGCCGGGGCTGGAACCTGGGATGTGCAGCGTGCCCAGAACTCCTGGGGGCCCCGCCAGGTCTTCCTGCTTTCGCCTCGGAGGCCTTCTGGTTGCAAGCACCTTCCCTCTTCTGGTTCCTCTTCGGCAGACAAACGCTTCAAGAAAGAAACAGGGAGCAGGTTTTCACTCCGTTCCACATGAACCCACCGCAACGTGCTTGCACAGGCCGTGCTCCACTCCCCCTGCTGCATTATGGTCCAGGGGCACTCTCGTGCGGGCTGCTCTTGCGCCAGAGAGGCAACGTGCATAAAGAGAAAGCACGTTAACTTGGCAGATTGGGGGCCCCTGCCCTGTTGGCGTTAGGCTCCCAAGGGGTCTGAGAAGGGCCTCCCAGAAGGACCTGCCTGCATTGCTTCCTCCCCAGTCCTGCACTCTGCGGGATGAGCTCCACTTTTCCAGGCTTCTCTGTCCTTCACAGTTTCTTTCCAAAGTTAGTTCCTTTCCCTCAGTTTTTAAGAAAACAGAAGCAGGCACTGAAGTGCCGGTTGTGGCAGCGGCCCCCCAGGCAAGAGACCCGGCGTTTTAAACGGCTCTTCCTCGCTCGCCTCTGCAGACGGCACAGGGAGGCCGGTGGGTGGCAGAGACCGGAGCTGGTGGCGCTGGGGAACGGCTGCCCCCCCTCCCCCCACGCCTCTTCTTGATGCGATGAGTGTGTCTTTGAGGGACTGGGGTGTTCCTTTGATCCGTCCAGTCTCTCACCGGCACTTGAGTCCTGATTGGCTGAAGGACTGCGGGTGGGGTGGGGGGGAAATCTTTAATTAAGAAGATAATCTCTTCTTACAAATTTCAGTGGCTCCATTTCACTGGTCCCCTTTGCTTGCACTCCAGAAGTGATTGTCCCCTGGCGTCGTTTGGACTCGGGGCTTTCATCTCCGCACACTTCAGGAGCCGCGGGGAGAGGCTCATCTCGCTCCTCTTCCCATTTTTTCTCCCTGCCCCTCCGGGAAGAAGCATTTCGAGATCTTCTGCAGCCTTCCTTTCTTTTCCTCTGGGTGGCGGATTATGTTTCGGATGGGCTCCTCTTCAGGCACCCTTCTCTTGGTGTCCTTCTTCCACATCAGCCATCCTTGGTGAGTATCCAGAGTCCATGGCTCTGCACCGTCCACAGCAGGGGGAATTCCACCGTGCGGAAGCAAGCACGTTCATTCCTAGCCATCGCGGTCCCACTCCGTTTTCCTTGGGTTGTCATGATGTTTGCTTGCCTGACTGTTTTAACTCAAAGGAAGATCCCTGTCGGATTCCAGAAGCTCAGGCACTGCCACCGGCATCCAGTGGAAGCTTCTTGGAAAGGCTCTGGGACTCCGCTTCCCATTTGCATGACTAGCTAAGCACAGAGTTGGGGGTTCTTCTCTCTGGAGTTTCCAGCCTGGACGGGGCTCATCTCGCTCTCCCTTGGGATCTTCAGCAGGCACGCAGGCAACAGCGGTTCGGCTGCTACCTTCCAAAATGGCGATGATAGTTTTGATAGCACTGGTTTCACCGGACGGCACCTGCAGGGAGAGCGACGAAGTGGGGAGCTGGAAGAGGAGCTCCCGAAATCTGGCAGCATCTTTTAATATCCGACGCTTGGTGTGCCGGTATCGCCCCATTTGCTTTGCATGGCAGCCCGTCAGTCAGACCGTCCTCAGTGCACGCCGGACTCGCTGCCAGGCAGGCTACGGTTTGGTCAAGTAGTCAGAAATTCTCACCAGCACTGGGAGGTGGGAGCCATTTGTGCGACTCTGGTGCTCCATTTAGAAACTGCCTCGCTTTGGTTTAATTCTGGAAGGCGGCCAGGGACACGGAGATTCCTGTTCCATGATAAGAGGCCCTGTGTTGGACCCTCACGGGACCCAACCCGGCTGCCCTCGGTCCTTGCACGTTGCGCGGGCACAGGGAACTTGCTGTCGGGGAACCGGGGGCACACACCCCTGTTGCCTGGTCACACTTGCCACCCTCCAGCTTGTGGTCCGAGGCCGTTCGGCCCTGGGCGGGCCCTGTGCCGCCGAGCCAGACGTCTGCAGCGTGTGGAGCGAAGGGGCTGACACGAGGGGTCGCTGGGATCGCGGGGCGCAGCCAGCGCTGGGCGATCCGAGCACGGCTCAGTGGCGTCCCTGCTGCCCAGCAGGAGGACTGGGGGCAGGCGCCTCAGGGCAGGGGCAGCCGCCTCGCTCTAGCTTTGGGCCCAATCCACACCCCGGGGGGCTTTGGGCAGCGTCTGCCTCCAGACCCTCCGGCGTCAGGCTCGCTCCCTGAGCAGAGCATAAGGGAAGCTCTGCGGCCGCCCTCTGCTTTCAGAAGCACAGGAGCAAATGCTGGGCAGCCAGGCCTGGACGTCCACAGGAGGCTGAAATTCCCGGTGCCTCTCAGGTGGAGGGAAGCCGTTCCAGTGGGGCTGGCAGAGCAGGGGTGCTGCGGGAAGCATGTGCTGCGAGCAAATAGCGCATGGGGGCTGTTCAGGAGGGAGGAAAAACATGATTTCCACTTCTTTTCTGCACAAGCACCAAACAGAAGAGAGTCTTCCGAGGAGAATTCCCGTTGAGGCAGAAGGCACTCCATGACTTGCTACTTATCATAACATTTTATAGCACTTTTGCCCAGGCCCAAAGGCAAGGAATTCGGCTGAGCTTCAGTATAATGAAGCACATGGTGGGCACCTCGTGAGCGGAGCCGCTGGAGCCGGGGGTCAGACTAGATGGCCCGGGAGACCCCTCCTGACTCGCTGTTTCTGTGTTTGTATAATCCACATATTCATATGTGCCACCCCTGCCAGCAAGGGCTGCAGCAGGACTCATTTGTTAACAGGATCAGGAAGAAGGCACTTCTGTTAACCCAGCTAACACACCGCACGGGGCAGAAGCTGCGAAGGCATTTTCTCACCCGCCCCAGCGCCATCCTTTTGGGCCAACTCCATCCCAGGGTTCCCCGAAGGCGTCAACACTCCAAAGTCCAATTTGGACAGTCCAGCTTGTCCTGTCCCATCCCAGTCAGTCGATCGTGGCTGTTATAGCTAAGTAAAAGCCGGAAATACAAAGCAAATACAAATACAAAGGTCTCTCTTTCTTCCTGGCTTTCGATGCAACCGGGAAGAGTGAGTCACCTTTTTTATTCCATGTGGCCCTGGAAGGAGGTTTCTTCCACATCCGTGCCCCTCCACCTCCCCTCCATAGTTCTAGCAAGTATTCAGTGCTCATAAAGCTCAGCTGATTTTCATCAAATGGACAAAGAGCAAATAGAAAAAGTGCAAACTTTTCCAAACATTTCCAGCATCCATATCTGTCGTAGCTACCAGGAAACCAATGCATTTTGCAGCAGCATTTGGGAAAACAGGGTGCACGGGAGTTTGCAGCCAGCGAATGGTTCCAGAATACTATTTCTCTGGCATGATAACTCCGGGAGGGATCCACAGGGTGGCGTCAGGTGTGTTGTGAGCGTAAGTTACGCATGCAGCTTGCACAGGTGCAGTGTGGCGTTTCATGAGACGGTGGGGCGTCAAGACCAGGTGCTTCCTCAGATACTGAATGAGGGTCCAGAGGTCCTCCTCCACCACATTCCTCACCCCATGTTCCCCCACTGCTTTGTGTCTCCCCTTCCCCCTTCCCACTAACATCCGTTAAGAAGGGAAGACATAATAGGTACATAATGCCCTTTAATTGTCAGTGTTAGAAGGCCTCCATCTAGACCCATCCTAAAAGGGAACGGACTGAGGAGACAGCTGCCCACACATGTGTCTGCGCAAGCAGCTCACTGCAAGATCATGGCCAAGAGATGGAATGGTGATCGGGTTCTTCCGGCTCTCTGAAGCCGCGGCATTTTCAGAAACAAAGCGTCACAGCATTCCTTGTCCCTTCGTTGATCAATGTGGGCAGACCAGCTTGTTAGGACTGCTGATGGCCAGCAGCAAATATTTTAAAAAATTTGTTACTATCCCCCACACCCAGTCATCTTGTAAAGACCAGAAATATTTCTTTCACTTAAAAATGAACCTTGTGTGGATAATCCATCTCCATCTCTCTCTCAATCTCTCTCTCTCATTCATACTCTCTGTACAAGTAAAGATTAAATTAGATGATCAGATAATCTCTGCAAACTGAGTAGCAAAAACTACCAAATACATCACCTGTTGTTAAACTTGCGGTAAAACGGCAAATATCAGCATAAACGGGAAGAGCTGTCACACCCGATCTGTAACTCAGCCACACTGAAACACAACTCAAAAGAGGCATAGTGAACAAAATAGTATTCTGTCCCGCTGTTGTCGCTGGAGGTCACAGATGCGCAGATTCACAGAACGGCCGGGTCAGAAGGGGCCAGTTCCACCGTCCCCGTCAGATAATTGTCCATTGCTTCCTAAATGCATCTAGTGTGTAACCGCCACAGCCTCCTCGCTAGATCAGCCTGGAAGACAAGTGCATTTATTTAAGTGATTAATTAAAATGCATGGATGACAGGCAAGATGATTGGAAAAGCAAAAACATGTCTTTTCAGTCTTGCTGCTTCTGGGTTATGCTCCTACTTCAGTCCCATTCAGAATTTGGATCCAGAGTCCTGGAGATATTTCTGGTCCTTGGTCTGTTTCATCATTCTGGTTGGGAGGGCAAAGCCCCTCGCGGCAGAGCAAACGGCCAGCTGACGGAGAGCGAAAGAGACTTTTCTGAAGTACCAGCTTTCTTTTTCAAGGAAGCATTTCTGCACAGAGGTGCTACTTTGCACTCCTCGCAGACCCAGTTCCTTCTTCCAGGACACCTGAATGCATGTGCTCCTTCCTTTCTCCTGTGCCAGCAGTTGCACTTGTGAATCCAGTTCGAGGTAGCTTGTTAAAAAGTGATTGCTTCAAAAGTATTTTACAAAACAAGCATGACGGCATCTCAGTACAAGAACAGCCCTGGGAGCTTTGGGCTGTTAGTGTGTCTCCCCCCGCCCCCCCATCCCGTGCTGTTTAAACAAGGGCAATGCTGGATGAGTCTTGGGTTTCAAGCTTCTGCTGAAGAGGGAACATCAAGGACATTAGCAATGTCTAGACTCACGGAGCAGGTCAGTAAAGCAGCGATGAGAAAGCCTTTCAGAAAGCAAAAGAATGAGGAAGCCTGGGAGAAGGCTGGCTTGGGGAATATTGTGTGGATTTTACAGCTGCTTCCAACTAACCCTCACCCTGATCCTGAACATAATTTGCACTTCGAAGTTCATTATGAGTTCTGAAAAGGCAAAAAAAAAAAAAAGTTTTCGACAACATATATCTGAAAAGCATGTGAGGGAAAATGTGTACGGTTCTAAAAGCACACAAATGTACTTCAGGCGATAGATGCGTGTACAGAAATGCACCTGTTTGAAAGTGCATCCAGACTGAGCCTAGCAGCCGGAAACTGACTTTGGGCACAGCATGTGGCGCTCGTGCCAAGAGAACGTGCGGCTGCGTTGGGAATAGTCACACGTTTGGGAATAACGTCACCTGGCCTTCGTGAAGCTCCATTCACATGTGCTGAGCTTGACTCACAGCCCCACTGGATTTCCATCCCACCCATTTCAATAGCTGCATTTATCAGGTCAAAAGGAACCAGGGGAACGGTTTCCTGATCCTTCCATTAAGCACTTCTTCTTGTAGACAATTCTGCCTTTTTGTCCTATCCCCAGAGAATAAGGTGGTAAGCATTCCTTCCACTTTCCCATGGAATCCAACCAGGCCTGCAAAAGGAAGTCCACTTTGGGCTAGAATGTGCCTGCGATTCCCAGGTTTTGTGTATCTTCCTAAGCATGTGGAACTACTCAAACTTCAGCTGAAAAATTCAGTTTTTGACATCGCATTTCAAATGGGAATGATAAAGATTTTTAATTTTCCTTTTTTTGGGGGGAAAAAGTATTTTATTTTGTTATCTGTGTTCATTTGAAAATTATTTGCACAGAGTCTGATTTCTGATGTGCTCTAGATAAATCTATTCTAAGGCAAAGGGAGAAAAAGAGGAAAGAAATTAAAAGACACAGGTCTCTACATAAAACCGCACAGAGAAAGTCCTATCAAAGACAATGTGTATCTCCTTGTCTCATGAAATTCAGTTCTAGGAATGTGTTTCCGAAACTCTGCTAAATACCTCCATCTGGTTCCCCCACCACCAAGGAGAGAGAGAAAAAGCCTACCATTTTTGTGCCTAGTCGAGTGTGCATGGTATAATTTACTCACTGACGTTGTATGTCGAGTTCCATTTGGAGCTGATACTCCATGCAGGGAATATTGGATTTCCTCCCCCCGGGCTTGGTGCTACAACCATTTTTCCAGTTATCCATCATAGCCCTGATTGTACAGGGCTTCTAACATGAAACCGAGTGCAACTCAAATGTCTCATTCTTGAAGGAAAGTCCATTTGTCTCACATTGTTCCAAATATTAACAATATAATTCACATCTAAAAAGCTTTTATGACTGTTCAGCTCTACCAGATGTGGGACAAGATGACTTTTTAATTTCTTTTGCAAAGCCAAATGTTGTTGTCTTTATCAAATGCAAATATTGACTCTAATTTAACAATATTTGATCAAGCCATGAACTGGGACAAGAGGAGGTCACACCTAAGGTGACCTCAGCGGCAGCCGCCGAGTAGTAACCGGCGAGTGTGACCGACTGGGACACAAGAGAAGCACCTCCAAGGGCTGGTCGAAAAGGACCGGGAGGAATTCCAGGCATTTCCTCAACGCCTTTCCACTGACAAACCCTTTTCTCCCTTCCAGGTCAGTGAATAATTTCCTGATGACTGGTCCCAAGGTAAGTGCAATCCCTTTGATCTCTGCTTTTAATTCCAATAAGCCCAGATCAGCTTGAAGTGGCTTCTTTCCAGCCTCTCAGGTTTGCTAAGAGTCAGGCGCAACTCAGCTCAGCCTGGTTCTTGTGGGCTGCACCGGAAGGACAAGGTACAGGCAAAAGTAGCCACACAGTCTGTTCAGGGAGGACTGGCCCTCTTTTATCCCCACTGCGTCCGTGTGGGGCAGCGACAAGCGTCTTGGCTGTGGCTGGCCGCTGTGGCTGGCCAGCAAGCTCTTGGCGGAGCAGAGGCCTGGAGCCTGGGCCGGGGCCGGGGCGGCTCCCGATCCAAGGCCACGCGGCACCCCAGCTTGCGGCTGGGGCTCCTCGCAGCTCCTGGGCCTTGCTTGGCCCGGCTCCCACCAGCACCCCCCGTTTTTTCTGCCCCCCCCCCGAATGCTGGACTGGTCCACTTAATGCTGGACTGTTCTCTGGGCTTTGGCAGACGGGGGGCTGATTTTCATCCCGTGCAAAAAGCTTCGGGTTGATTTTTCCTGATCAAGATGCTGTTCGGGGCATTTGTAGTGGGGGGGGGCGGGGGGGGTACAAATCAGCTGGCAAGTGCAAGGCTGGAGGCCCCTAGGCCAACAGCCCTTTCAGCTGCAGGTTGGTCGAAATGATTCGGAAGTCAGACAGCAGCTGCGTTATTATTAAAATGAGGGCTACTCCTAATATCGCATTACTTGCATAACTCCCTTCTGATTCTCGTGACAAACCCAAGGCAAGTTCCTTCTCCCTGTTCCATCCTCACGGCCACCCTGTGAGGAAGGCGAGGCTGGGAGCTTGCAGCGGGTCCAAAGCCACCCGGCGAGCCCGCGAGCAAGTGCGCAGCGCTTGCAGGCCCCGCCGCGTCTTCTCCTCTGGCGCCGCCAGAGCCCGGCTCCGGCTTGGCAGACTGCACCGCCCTGCGGGTTCGCGACTGACTGAGCCAAAGTCCCCACCTGGTTCCTTCCGCGCACGTCACTGCCGAGAAAGCTCTCCCTTGGCCTCCGCTGCACCTAGAGGCAGGCCTTTGCATTCCCCTGCAGACCCGCCCCTCGCTGGTTTCTGCCCACCGGGACGGCCCCTCAAGAAAACTCCGGTTTGGTCCTCTGTGACCCTCCCAGATTTGCGTCGTCTGCAGATCTAACAAGCACCCTCATCCGAGGCATTGGTAACCACGTCCAACGGCACGGAGCTCGGGAGCCAGGGTGGTCGACACCCAGCGAACCCTTGGCCACCTGGTCTTGGGGGCCCCTGCAGTGCTGGCCACGGGAACCGGCTAGTGGGAAGGGCTGCTCCACCCACTAGGCATCCACCAGACAGCAGCATTGCCCGTCCCACACTTTACCACCCTGCCCTTGAAGGCAGCATAGGGGACCTGGTCAAGAAAGAGACAGGATTGGCCTGGCATGACTATTCTTCATTAAACACATGGTCCTGCCTAGTAAATTTGGTCTTTTCTAGATATCAGTGTGAGGGCCCCCACCAGGGAAGGCTGTCCAGCCAGCTGGCGTCCCCCGCAGGCAGCCCTCCCACCACCGAGGGCAGATCTGAAGCGCGGGGCCAGCTGTGGCAGAGCAGCCGGGGGACCTTCGGTCAGGGCAAGGGGGCCTTCCTGCCAGCTGCCAGTCGCCACGCCACAGGTCGGAAGGAGCCCTCGGGACGCAGAGCAGGTGGCCTCACCTGGGCGAGCTGGCTCGCAAGTGTGCTTACAAGGGGCTGGTAAGGTGAGGAAGCCAGCACTTCAGGAGGGGCATGTTGTGTGCAGACACTTGCCTTTCAGCTTCGGTGCATTCCCATCAGAGAATGCAGCACCCCGTGCCCCGAGGAGGAGAAATGGGCCAAGGACCAGGTGGCAGGGCTCCTCCAGGCAGCTGGCACTCCGAGGAGCCGCTCAGAAGAACAGGTGCCGTTGCTTAAGGGCGCCTTCCCCACTCCCTCCGGCAATCAGGCCATCAGGGCCTCTTGACTGGCAGCACTGGCAGCTGGCACAGAACGTTACCCCTCCCATAGCTGGCACGGAAAAGGTGCTGAGCATGAACACCGGCAGGGCGGCTTTTGACGGGGAAGAGCTGGGAAGTGCCTGGCTTGGGCCGAAGGCCGCCTTGACAGTGTGGAGGGGGCAGCGGCGCTGCTCTGTGCTCCCACCGCCTTCTCTTGCAGGCGTACCTCATCTACTCCAGCAGCGTTGCAGCTGGTGCCCAGAGCGGCATCGAGGAATGCAAGTTCCAGTTCGCCTGGGACCGCTGGAACTGCCCGGAGAGGGCCCTGCAGCTCTCCAGCCACGGAGGCCTGCGCAGCGGTAAGTAAAGCCGCCAGGGAGCTGGAGGCGGGCGGGACCCGTCCGGGGGAGCACTGCGCTGGGGCCCAGCGGAAGAAGGAAGGACCTGCTCCAGTGGGATGTTGCCGCCTTTCCAAGGGCAGAGGCAGAAGTCCCGGAATGAGGGTGGGGTGAGCGCCACTGGCCCGGGCGACTCAGCCATGATCTGGGGGGGTGGACCGGCCGGTTTCCCGGCAGCACTTTCGCGCGAGGCAACCTTCTGGCCCAATCAGGTCACCCAACCTGGCCGCTCTTCCTCTCTTCGGGCATCGCAGCGTCACGAGTCCCCACCGCACCGCCCCCCAGGAGAGCGTGAGCCAAACGCTGCTCGAGGCCCCCCGTCACAGCTGCCCAGGGAGGCGTTTCTGTGCCTGCGACTGGCCCGCCTTGCCGCCCCTCCGCCAGAGGCTCACAGGGACGGCCGTGCCCCCGCTTCCCACGAAGCAGGGGAGGCTGCGATTCAGGGGCTGCCCCAGTGCACCCAGTGCGGTTGCTGTTTAACCGTTTCTTTGTCCAGCCCTCTCCAAGCAGCCATCCTGCGCTCAGCGATTCATTCTCCCTCTGGAGCTGGCGCTGCAGCGCCATGCAGGGCCAATGGGGCAGCAGAGGAGGGCTGCCACCCCCCCCCCCCACGACAGGCTCCCAGTGCAAAGTCCTGCCCGAGCCCAGTTGGCCTTCCCAGGTGAAGGTGCCCCTGAGGACACGAGGGCCTCCCACAGCGTCCGCTCTTCTCTTGTGTCTTTGCCTGGCAGCAAACCGGGAGACGGCCTTCGTGCACGCCATCAGCTCCGCCGGCGTCATGTACACGCTGACGCGCAACTGCAGCCTTGGGGATTTCGACAACTGCGGGTGCGACGATTCACGCAATGGGCAGCTTGGTAAGGCACACCCTGGCAGAACCGTCGGAAATGAACCAGCCCCCCAGGAGGAGAAGAACCTGCTCCACTGGCCGAACCCCTCCACTGGGGGCTCCCGTTCTTACACTGGCCAGGCCTCCCGGGGAAATGGGTGCTTGGCCTGGAGGGCAAGGGGAGCGAAACTCTCTGCCAGCCCAGCTCTCCCGCCTTTCCGCGGAGGGCAGAGGGCCAAAGAACTTGCTGCTTTAATCGCATGGTCAGCAAGGCTACTCAGGTTTCAAACGGGCTGCATCCTCCATGCGTGAGGTGGCAGGGGAGGAGGGGAGTCTCCCCCCCCCCCCGGCCTAGCCAGTCAAAGCCTCTGTGTCCAGTTACTCCCACCCTTCCAGCAGCAGAGAGCCAAGCTCCAGTTTGGAGGCACTCTGGGGGCTGCACCCCTCTGGCACGGGGTGTGCTCGCAAATACCGCACACACTGGTACACATACGTGCCCCGACAGTCAGTGCCTACGTTCTGGAAGAGGCATTTCAGCTTGTTGGAATGAGGGGACAACGCTGTGCGGAAGACGGCCAGAGGGCGGCAGGGCGAGCGCACAGCCTTTGAGCGCCCCGGAGGGCCTGGCTGGCACCCCACGCCCCCGAGCTCAGCCTCTCCGCCCCCTGCACGCCGTGGCCCCCGAGAAAGGCAGAGCGCGTCAGAAGCCACGGAGCACCTTCCCTCTTGTGCCTGAAGCGGGGAGGCCGGGGAGGGCAGGAGTGCAGTGGGCTGTGCTCCTTCCAGTCTTGGGGTGGAGGAGGCGTGTTCAGTTTGGATTCCCCTTCTCCTCATTAAGCAAGGACTGGCCAGTTCTGCCATTTTGCCGGTGCTTTTTGTTCTTGGTTTCTGCACTGCTCCTCTTTTGCTCTGGAAAGCCAGCCGAGATGGGCAGCTTTACCATAATCAAGAGTTCTCATTAGAAAGCCTTTGTCCTGGTCTGCTCGGAAGGAGGGCCAGCAGTGCCTCGCCTTGCCTGGACTGCATGCCCGTTGTGGTCTCCAAAGCACCCAGGAAGCGACAGACCTTCCCAGCTGCCTCAGCATTGTCCGAAAGAGTGGGGGGGCTGGCAGACAGTGTCTGAAGGAACAAACGGGGCACCTTCTCCCTGCCCAGCTCCTGGCGTGGGTCAGCGGCCAAGGTGACCAAGACTGCTTCCAGATCAAAACCGGACAGAATCCCAAACAGGAAGGGCTCTGGATGCTCCTCTTCATTCAGGAGATCTGGAAGTCAGGAGGCCACACGTTTTAGGATCTCACTCAAAAAGGGAAGTTTAGCTAATAATTGCAATTAAGAATTGGCTGGTGATTATATAGACTTCAAGCATGGCTTCTTAAATAATGGTCTCACAACAGCTTCCTTTCAAGAAACACGGGCATAACCCTCTGGCAAGGAAGCACCTGTGCTCACCGGCACCTTTCTGGGGAGCCCTCCTTGGGCAGTTTGATTAGCCAGCAGGGACAGGCGGGCCTCACTCCTTCAAGCAACGCGTCCACATCCTCAGGCTGAACACGATGGCACTCGCCCCTCCAAGGGAGACAAGCTGGCGCCTCGGTCGCCCCCGCAGGTCCTGCTCTTAGTGGAAGACCAACCCACACGGAGCGCATGTGATCTTCCCGGAGAAGCCACTGCAGCAGGCTGGCCGGTGCTCCGTAGCCTGGGCTGCCCCAGCCTCCTTCCCATCCGAAGCCATCCTGCCGGGCGCCTGCCTGTCGAGGCCGCGGCCGTGGAGAAGCAGTGCTTTCTGCAGCGGGCTCCGTCCCTTCTTCAGTTGGACGCCTCGAGGCTGAGGAGGGGTCTACCAGTCCCCCGATCCACCAGTCAGTCCAGGCTCTGGCAGGCCCATCAGCGCTGCTGGAAGGAAGACCCCCCAATGTGGGAGGGGCTATTCTGAGCCCAGGGACCTCAAGGGGACACCCTTCGATTGGTCCCATTCACGCCAAAGGGCAGAGTCTCGGTGAACCGAAGTTCCTCAGGGAGTCCCCTGTCCGTGACAAGAGAGACCTTCCAGACTGTCCTAGCCAAGGGTCATGTCCATCCTGGTTGGGCCCAGAGCATGTCCTGTCACAGGGCACGGTCCGTCCCGGAGGCAGGAGGCCCAGATGGTGCCCTCCCACATTCCTTGAAAGCACAAGTAGCCCTCCAGGCCTAGGCCGGGGGTTGGCGACCTTTAACACTCAAAGTGCCGTTTGGACCCGTTTCCCACGCAAAAGAAAATACCGGGAGCCGCAAAACCCTTTTGACCTCTAAAATGAAGATAGCACTGCATATATCGTTTTTTACCTTAATGCTATGTATAGCTTCATTACGATTTAGCTGCAGCTCTTGTTCAGTCACTAAAAACTGTTATTTTTAATCTTACATTATAAACTAGTAGGACTCCTTTCATATATTTTGAATAGGAGAACAGCTTCCTGCAGAGTCAAAGTCAGTGCTAAAGGGCTGCATGCATTAAACAGCAAACCCCATAAGTTTGTCAGCAGTAAAACCAAATGAATCTACCCACGTACCATTAAACGTTCGGTTTTTCAGAAACTTTTCTTTTCTTCAGATTTATCCATGGTTGGATGGGCGGAGGGGAAAGCTGAGTAAATCTGTGCAGATATAGGTGTGTTTAGTGACTGATTAGCAGATTAGATGGCCTGGGAGGCCCCTTCTGACTTGCTCTGTTTCTATGTTTCAAGTGCTGTGAATTGTGACAGGCCCCAAGCGCAGCTTTTAACATTCAAATGAAGGAGATGACACTGGGACAAAGAGAACTTTTCAGCAGCCTTGTTTGTTTGTTTCCTGTAACATGAGAGCCTGCAGGAAGCTTGTTTAGCAGAGGAATGTAGCGATTCACTTAACTAGCTAGTGCTGCCTTCCTGAGTGGAGCTTCGTGTGTTTTGAGGGACAGAGCCGCAGCAGAGGGGTTTGAGAGCCACATGCGGCTCCGGAGCCACGGGTTGCCGACCCCTGGTCTAGGCAGACCCCCAGAATGAATTCCTGGAGTGGCTGTAACAGGGGTATGACCAATAACAGTTTTAAATGTGTAGGCATTTCAGAATCTATACCATGAATCCTGAATATCTGCAATCTAAACATGGTGCTGGGAAATTATTCCTGGAATAAGAACAAAGCCCCTCCTGGCTGAGAATCAGGCCCTTGTCATGCTGCTCACGGCAGCGCTTCCACACTCCCGATCCCACGGGAGGCAGTGGGGGCCCCATCGGGGAGGGTGCTCAGGGACAGGCTGGGCATGCACATGGTGGGCCTGTCGTGAGCGGAGCCGGCTGGGGTCAGACTAGATGGCCCGGGAGACCCCTCCCGACTCGCTCTGCTTCTGTGTTTCTGAATCCAGGGTGAGGGTGAGGGGGCTGGCCGGGGGCACCTGTGCACCCACCTGTCCTCACGCGGCTGCTCTCCTCTCTCTCTCTCTCTCCCCACAGGAGGGCAGGGCTGGCTGTGGGGTGGCTGCAGCGACAACGTGGGCTTCGGCGAGGCCATCTCCAAGCAGTTCGTGGATGCGCTGGAGACCGGGCAGGATGCCAGGGCCGCCATGAACCTGCATAACAATGAGGCCGGCAGGAAGGTAGCGCCCCTTCCCTCTCCTGCAAGCCGAAAAGGCAGTATGATGGGGAGCCCCTACCGAAAGGCTTGGCTCAGGGAGAATCCTGGGCACGCGTCCCGGCAGCCTTCGGTCCGCCTGGGAGATGCAGAGGTGCTCTGGGTGGCTGCCACGTTCCCAAGTGCACTTTCCTAACCGTGCGGGCCTGGTGGTCCCACTGGCTGGCCGGGCAGCTGGAGCTGGAGCTGGGGCGACAGAGCAGGCGTGAGCGGGCGGCAGCGCGGGCGGAGGGCAGGAGCGTGGCCTGCGCCAGCGGGGTCCCCGGCAGGAGCGCTCCGCTGAAGGCCCTGTTCCACTGCAGCGGTGGCAGCACAGGACGGCGCCCCCGTCCCTGCACCCTTGCAGCGCCACTGCAGCTGGCTCCCCCGAGCGCGCCTCGCTCGTCCCACAGGGAACGTTCAGGGGTGGGAGTCGCCTGCCACAACTGGCTTTGCGGATGAACGCAAGGAGCGTGTCCTGAGCAGAGTCATGTGTGGTGGGTGTGAACGGGCACGATCCCAGACAAAGGGTGGAACAGGGAGGCACACGAGGAGGGCGTCCCACAAAAGGGCGGCTGGGCGCACGTCGCACGGGCTCTGCTGCAAGCATGGCGGCTGCCCGCTGCCTTCCCAAGACTGCCCAGGCCCCAGATAACGCCGCATGCGGATGGCCATGGCGACATCAGGCGTCCTCCCCGTGGCGGCCTGGGAGCTGCTCTGTTCGCTGGGGCACTTGCCCCCCACATGCCCCCTCCATGTGGCAAATGACTTAAACCGTTGGGGCTGAGTGCTGCTTCTTTCGTGCGCGAAGTGGGCCTTTGCGAGTTATACGGCAATCTCTAAATACAGCACTGGGTTCAGGTGCACCCAAAACAGGAAGTGCTCGCTACTTAGGCGCATTAGGTCTATGGGTCCAAGAAACACTCGCTGCAGGCCATTCACGGACGCGCACTGTGTGGGGGCGAAGGGCACGGGGCTCGGGCGATTGGGTTCTGGTCCCCGCTCGGCCGTGGTGCCAACTGGGTGCCTTGGGCCAGCCATACCCTTGGTCCAGCCCACCTCACAGGGTTGTTGTGAGGACAAATGGAGAGCGGCAGGAAGAGAACATGTGAGCTCCCTTGGCAGGGAAGGCAGGTGCGCAGGCTGTGAATATGCATAAGCCAAAGAGATGCAGAGGGTTCTCCTTCGGCCCAGAAACAAGGAGGGTGACTGACGGTGTCCCCAAGTGGCGGGCACTCTCCTCTCCTCTCCTCTTCAGGCGGTGAAGGGGACCATGAAGAGGACCTGCAAGTGTCACGGCGTCTCCGGCAGCTGCACCACGCAGACCTGCTGGCTGCAGCTGCCCGAGTTCCGGGAGGTGGGCGCGTACCTGAAGGAGAAGTACCGCCGCGGGCTCAAGGTGGACCTGCTGCAGGGCGCCGGTAACAGCGCCGCCAGCCGGGGCGCCATCGCGGAGACCTTCCGCTCCATCTCCAAGAAGGAGCTCGTGCACCTGGAGGACTCGCCCGACTACTGCCTGGAGAACAAGACGCTGGGCCTGCTGGGCACCGAGGGCCGCGAGTGCCTGCGGCGCGGCAAGGCGCTCAGCAAGTGGGAGAAGCGCAGCTGCCAGCGCCTGTGCGCCGACTGCGGGCTGGCCGTGCGCGAGCAGCGCGCCGAGGCGCTCTCCAGCTGCAACTGCAAGTTCCACTGGTGCTGCGCCGTGCGCTGCGAGCAGTGCCGCAAGCGCGTCACCAAGTACTTCTGCGTGCGCCCGGGCGAGCGCGGCGCGCCCGCCCGCAAGCCCCGCAGGCGGCAGCCCTAGGGCGCGCGCCCGGCCCCCGCCCCGCGCGCCCGCCCCGCCGGGCACTGGACTCGCCGCAAGGCGGGCGCCGCGGGGCGCTTCGGGGCACAAGGGCGGCCCCGGCCCCGGCCCGGCCCGAGCCTTCTTTCCCCCTCGAGGAAGCGGGGCGCCCGTCCGGCCGCGGGACCCTCGCCAGCCTTGCAGCGGAAGCCGCCGCTCCGCTCGGGCGCGACAGCTCCCTGCTCACAGCCCCTCCGCGCACAGGCAAGGGACGCCGGACGTGCTCCAGCTGCTTTCGCCGCACGTGCTGCTGGCGTGTGCGAGATCCGGACCTCATCCCCGCTTGCAGAGCCCAGAGGAACAAATCGCCCGCCCGGTTCAGCATCTGACTTACCCTCTCCTTGTGTGCGCAAGCCAGGCGCTGACGTGCAGAAGGGACGTCCCAGATCTTGGGCACCACCCTTGAATGGGCAGGAAGAGTCAGGACGGTGGCGCATCTTCCCACCCTGCCTGCTGTGGGGGAAGAAGGGTGAAGGGGTCATTGGCGGAACAAAACTTCAGTGGGGAGGGTGGGCCAGGCACTGAGCACGAGGAAGGCTGGGGAGACCCCTGTTCTTTGGGTGCTTTCTAAGGAATACACTTGCATTACATTTTACACTTGCCATGGTTTTCTGAGAAACTATGGTTTTCTGGATACATTATTCCCTGGCACTGAATATCTTCTGAGAGCCTTTCCTGATTATGACCTTGTTTGTTCGTTGCACAATAATTTCACAAAAAGCACACTTTTAAGGTGGAATCCTGTGCATGTTTAGACAGGTAAACATCCTGCCATTTCCAATTATGGCTGTTTGGGGCATGCTGGGAGTTGGTAGGACTTTCACCTGTCTGAAGAAGCACAGGATTACACCCTTGACCATAAGGACAGGACAGTGTCTCCCAACGTTGTTTCTTGGCATGCGACTTGCAGTCCTGTTTTCAGCTGGGAAATCCATTTTTTTCTCCGTTGCTTTTGCACTTGCTGTGGCAGCCAGATGCCCAGACCACTTAGTGCTGGTGACATCAAGCAATGATGCCTGAGGAAAACGCAAATAAATGGGTGATGCCTTTCTGTGAGCTTTTTATTTGCTCCTTCTTTGAACAGAATGTCCTTAGACAGTTGATCGCATGCACGATGCTACCTGAGGGCTCATTAAGAGCCAGGGCTGCTCCAGTGCGCTGCAGATGCCCTCGCACAGCTTCGTTTACCAAACAGCCCAGCTGCCTCCTCTGAACAGGGCTTCTCCCCAGAGGAGTGGGGTATTTCACCCCCAGGACAGGGCAGGGACTAGCAAGAGGGTGGCTAAGCAAAAAGGCTTTTCGTCGGCTCAACAGCCCTGAGCTGGTAGCAAGTGAATGAGGAGGGGGCCCAGCTGCATTTGTCCGCAATGCACAATTGTATGAAGTGGAACGTTCTGTAGAAAATAAATTGCATTCTGAAGAAAATAATTCTGTGCGAAGGAAAGTTTCGATCCAGCAACTTTAATCAAACTGGAAACAATTGTTATTTGGAGCGCAGTATTGGGAGGGAAGCTCAAGAGGTTTTGGTTAAGTCATCCGTCCCTTCTTATCTGGGGGACCTTCTGTCCGGTGGGTGGAAGCCCCCGCCCCTTTGATCATCTCCGCAGCTCTCCCCAGTGCAGTCCACCGCGGTGCAATGAGGGCTTTAGAGCCGAGACGAGCCGAGCCGAACATGCCGCGGTGCCATTTGACCTCCTTAGTCAGCTGCTGCCTCAGACAGAATTGACTGAGGCCCCGTGGGCACCCTCTAAGGCCACTGCAGGCGCTCTGCCGCCCCCGTCCCTGTGCGATGGTCCCTCCCCCGAGCTCCTTCCCCGGAACCAAATGCGGACACACGTCCTGGGCATCGTTTGCCGAGGGCTCAAGAGACGGACAGGAGACATGGCGAGGGCGCGTGCGCACCTGAAAGCGGCGGCTGTGGGAAGCCGGTCGTGCGCCATCCCAGCCGCCAGGCCAGCCGTGCAGCGGGGCGTGAGAACTCGTCCCCAGGCTCCGGCTGGGCTGTGCAGGCCTTTGCCTGCCACCTGGGCCCACGCGCGATGCAGGCCTGCGGGGGACACTGGGTGGGCGCCAGCCTCCCGCCGGCCGGCCTCCCTTCGGTGCTCATGTGGGTTCAGAATGACTTTTAAACCTCCTGCCCTAAAACTCCTTAATGCCACTTGCAAACCCGTTCCCCTCAGCTCGGTATTTTAATTATGTTGTAAATAGGAGAGTTAAGCACTTTGAATGTTTATTTATTGCACACTGTGATGTCAATATAACTGTTTTCCCATCTAGATGGTATATTGTAATTTAGGCCTAGTCAGTGATTTTGCAACTGCTCCCCCCACCCCGCTGCATGTTGGGGTTTGCGGCACAACTTCTGCCATTTCTGGCAGGGACTTCCCAGTGGGACGGTCCTCAGGGTATTATTTATCTGTGTTGCTGCAGCTCTTGCGGTTAGTTTACAGCATTAAAATGGTCCCAGTCAAGTCAATCTAGCTACCTATTATTGGCCAATAGACTTCTAGCATATACACCAATAAAGTTAAAGTGAAGTATGAAGGTGTCTGAGCAATTCATGTTATTTATTTATCTAGTTATCTAACATTTCTGGATGTTATACAGAAACATTATCTTTTGGGAACATCTGGCTTTCCACAAGGCAGGCAACTTGTGAAGTCCTTCTGTGTTGTTGTGTTCTTACAAATGCACCTGCACATACTAAGAAATGCTATGCAAAATCTTTCTTTGGAAAAATAACATGGCAATTATTTCACCAAACGAAGACTTACTTCCAGGGATAAATAATGGGTTTCTCACTGGGAAGTGAGCGTTCCGTGCTAAAGACGGGGAGGGCGAGGCTGAAGATCAGCTGAAGGAAAGGGACGAGCAAGAAAGAAAAGTTCCTCTCTCAGATCATCTACTGACTGGCCATAAAAGACTTTTCATGACTGGCGAGAGGAGCAGGACATGGGGAAGAAACTGGTGGACTTACTTATTTAGCTTTTATACCATCTTACATTCTTAGGGAAACTTAAGACGGTTTATGAGAAGTTAAAATGTCAAAAAATTAAAAACAAACAAACTGCCAGTATCTGAATAGAAGTGCAATAATTCAGATATACATTATCTAACAATTAAAAACTGGGTAAATAAAAAGCTCTTGGCCTGGTACCAGAATGAATAAAGCACAGATCCTCAAGCCATGGCCCGCGGGACAGATCCGGCCGCCACGGCCATCCATCTGGCCCGTGCCGCTGCCCACACGCCGCACTGGCTGCATGGGTAGGGAGGTGGTGGCTCGTTCGCTCGCTCGCTTACTTGTTCGGAGACGGTTTTGGACTTGCTGGGAGGTCTCCGAGCAAGCAAGCGAGCCACCGCCGTGTGTGCCCGATGCCGCCTCACATGTGCCCGATGGCACCTCACCGGCCCCAGCCCCCAGGCACCCCCACCTCACCGCAGCCTTTCAACTGGCCCCCTATTGAAAAGTCTGAGGAGCCTGGAATGAAGCGTCAGCACCAAGTGAGATTCTCTGGGAAGCAAGTCCCAGTCTTTCAAGGAGGGCTCTTGGCGAAGGACCACAGAGGATGTTCTCAAGGTTTGGGCAGGCTCATGCAGAAGGAGACGTTCCCTTAGATATCCAGGCCCTACACCATGTAGCGCTTTATAGTCATCGTCAGAACCTTAAATTGGGCCCAGGTATAAGACGGGTGTCCACCAGCCCCACTCAATGACCTAGCAGCTCTACTGTGAACCAACTGCGATTTCCAGACCGTTTTCAAGGGCAGCCCCATGTAGAGCACGTTACGGTAATCCAAATTTCTCCCCTTCAAGTATTTCTCAAGTATTGTTATTCTCAAAAATAAGTTCAATCACAGCCATGTGGCAATTCGCCCAGAAGGCGGGGCACCCCTTGTATACCTTGGATGACTAGGTTGCACCGACAGGCGCTCACGGGCTGACATTTCCTGCATCCAGGTGATTCCTACATGTACCTGGGAGGCTGGGCTGCCTGGGGATCCTGGACTGGGATCTGCAGAGTTTCTCCCAAACCCCTGACCGCATGGAGGCTCTGGTTACACAGGTGTGATGTGAGGTCTGGAAACCACGGCATGTGAGGGTCCCTTGAAAGAGCTGGGCACGCTGAGCCCAGAGAAGAGAGGAAGAAGGGACATGATGGTGGCCTTCAGGCATCTGAAAGGGTTCCATGCAGAAGATAGAGCTCACCTGTTCTCGCTTGCCCAGCATCAAACCCAACAGGTAGAAAATGCAGGGAAGCATCTGTTGGCTTAAATTAGGAGAGGCTTCCCTGGCAGAGGGAGCTGTTCAGTAGTGGAATGGATTGCTCTGGAGACGGGGGTGGGGGGGGGCTATTCGAGCAGAGGCTGAATGGCCCAAGATATTTGCTGCATGAGGCAAAGTACAACATGGCAGCTCGCTTTCATTTTGCGCCCAGAAGCAGGCCGCAGAAATAGCCAGACCTCGCTTCGGAGTCCACAACAAAAGCCTCCTTCGCCACACTGGAAGGCAGCCGGCCTGCGCTAGGAATGTGAGCCACGCGGCCTGCCCCGCGCTGTCCTCCCGCTGTGGGTTTGCCAGAAAACCTCGGGGTGGCTGCAGGGGGGTCCCGCCACTTCCCTCCCACCTCCCCAAGCCCCTGCCTCCCGAGGCAGCTGTTCACCAGCTCTGAAGCAGAGCTTGTTGAGAGCAAGGGGTTCTGTGGGGAACAACGGCCGGGCAGCAAGCAGGCGCCTGAGAGGGGGAGACCTTGCGGGCATGGCTTGACCCAGGTGGCCCTGGGGGACGGGGGGCGTGCCGGCTCCCCAAAAGCAGCGGCTCTGCTTTCCGGGTCTCCGTTCCTCTGCTGGCTCAGGTGCCAGCCCCAAAACCCGGCCTGGTGAAGCCCCCTGCACGGACAGCGCTCAGACCCTTGGAATGGCAGCCGGTGGGCAGGAGAGCCACCTGCTACTACGTAGACCAGAAGCCTGAGCATGGTGGAGCCCTGCTGCCTGGGAACGGCTCCGCATTCACGCCACCCGAGGGCCTAGCATGGCTGTGGAAGCTCCGCTTGAGGCTCTGCGCTGCCAGCTCCGGTGCTGCGGTTCGAGGGGCGAGGAGGGCTCCGCGGCAGCTCCCCCCGGCCGCGTCTCGCCCCCTCGGCGTGCAGCGCGGTGCCATCCCCATGCGGCCAAACAGCGACACGCGTCCCTCCATCTCCACGCAGCCAGCTGTGCGCGTCCCTCCCCTGCGCCCCGCGGCCCCAAGACCGCGCGGTGCGGTGTCCTGCGAGCGAGCGAGCGAGCGGGGCGGAGGGGTGCGCGGGGATCCGTGGAGGCAGCGCAGCCGCCGATTATTGCATGGCCCCTTGCTCGGAGCACAATGCTTGCGCTGGCTGCTATTGAGGGAACAGCGTGAGTCCCTCCAAAGTCCTTTCCCAAAATGTCTTTGAAGCCAAGAACCCATTGAAAGGAAGAAAGCCCTGAAGAGGGGATTAGTTTGTTCAGCAGCTGTGAATTTCAGTGGGAGGTTGATGAACTCCGAAGGCTTTGTCTAATTTCTTCCCGCTTGTAAATGGCCCTGCTGGAGGGAGAGACCCGCAGGACTAAACAAGGAGGAATCCGACCAGCGGGGCGCTGTGTACCCGCCACGAGGACTTTTCCCAAACACTTTTGGAAAAGGTGTTGTGAAGAGAGCCACGGGGATTAGCATGTGAAATGGACTTTCCATTGACTCCGCCGAGGGGAGGGGAAGGCGCTCGGTTGTCTCAGTTATTAGACTTTTGTTCCCTCATTTCGCCCTCTCCTCTCAGAGCCTGTTAAAGAGGTTTTGATTGGGAGGCAGCTGGTTCTGTGTTGCCTTGTATGAGATTGACCACCTGGGAAGCCAAATGTAAATATTTCTCCTCGCAGGAATGCACCTTCATTAACAAGACATGAATATGTGGAAGCAACCAATACGGGGCACAATGACCCGCCGCACTTGCTGCTGCGAAGCCCTGTGGCTCCAGACGACCCCGGCCTGGCCCGGCCCGCGGGGGCGGGGGGCGCGCTTGCAGCTGCTTGCAGCAACTCCTGGCCCGGAGGGGAGCTGGTGCAAGGGCTCGGCTCGCTGTCGGCCAGGGGGGCGTGCATTGCACCCCACACCATGGCCACCCCAAGGCTGCCGTCCCGCGGGAGGGAGCCGGTGCTGCCCCTCCCCGGCAGGGGTCGCTGTGCTCACCCAGCCTTGGGGTGGCCATGGTGTGGGGTGCAGTGATCCCCGAGGTGCCACCTTTCCGCTTCCGTGTGAGCTGGGCCTTCAGCAGCTCCGTTAACAGGAAATACTTTGAGGAAGAAACAAGAGTAATGCCCTAAACACCAGAAACTGGGGAGCACGAAGCTGCTGTAGCTGCTCCCCTTCCAGCCCTCCCCTCTTGCCACAGGGGGATATCTGCCAGGAACAGTCTCCAAGGGAGATGACAAGCCAGCTGCAGACATTCTGGAGGCTCTTGGTAGCTTCAGCCTATTCCCACCTGGATTCTGGCCTAGATCGGCGACAGAAGTGGCCTTATTTATGGAAGATCAGAGGAGAGCGAGCCTGGGGCTCTTCCTCGCGGTGACTTCCCCTGGGAAGGCTCTGGTCCTGCCAGGGACTCAAGTCCCATCTGGCCCTGTGGCCATGGCTCCCCTTGGGAATGCTTTCTGTAGGTGGTCAGGGATCAATTAGCATGCACTCTGGGCAAGTATTTGGGACTGACCTTGCTTACCCCAGCTTTATGGACTTGCCTTACTGTTGTGATTTATAGCGAAACATTGTTTTATTATTTGTTATTTATTTACTCACTATACTACCAATAGAGGATGCAGGTGGCGCAGTGGTTTAAACTGCTGTGCTGCTGGGCTGGTTGATCAAAAGGTTGCTGGTTCAAATCTGCACAACGGGGTGAGTTCCCACTGCTCTGTCCCACCTCCTGCCAACCTTGCAGTTCAAAAGCATGCGAATGCAAGTAGATGAAAAGGTACCACTTTGGTGGGCAGGTAACAGCGTTCCATGCACCTCGGTGTTTAGTCATGCCGGCCACATGACCACGGAGACTGTCTGCAGACAAACACTGGCTCCCTTGGCCAGGAGACGGAGATGAGAACCCCCCCCCCCCAGAGTCAGGCATGACTGGGCTTTAATGTCAGGGGAAACCTTGACCTTGACCTTTACACTACCAATAGCTGAAGTTCTCTGGGTGGTGTACAACTGAATTATAAGCTACTTTAGGATTATTTAAATGGGAAGTGGTGCATAAATATTCTAAAATATATAAACAAATCCCCACAGTCTCTCTCTCTCTCTGTTTTGAGACCTAGGAAGCTCTTCCACGAACCTTTTGTCTCCTCTTCCTTGCAGTGTTAATGCCCCAATTTGCCCAGCACAGAACCCTGCAGTTCCTGTTAGAACCCAAATCCCAGCTCGGCCTGCATCATCCAGGTTGGGTTACTCATGGGTAACTCTCCACCACTCAGACCTCATGCCTGAATCTCCTCCCTATCCATTCTTGAATTATTTTTAGAGGTTTGCTTTGTGTATTTTATTGTAATCTAACAATATTTGGGATTTCTGTATCAACACTTTACCAACTCATTTCCCCATGTAATGACTATGAACTTTACACTTTCGTCTGCCTATCTGTCTCCCCCACCAGTCAAAGAAATCTCTCATTGTGTATCATTTGTTTTTTTCCTGCCAGCAACGCACTGTCGCTTAAAAAGGAATTAAAAATCCCTTGACAGATGTATGTGTTGGGTTGTATGCAAATATGTACACACATTAAGACAGCACATTCGGTGGCACGGTGCATCAGCATACGACGCACAGCTCACCCGAAGCTCAGCGTGCCCTCACGGAGCTTCAGTACCCACACCCGGAACCAAGCTTCCTGATTTGTCACAAACGCTCCGTCTCGGAACGGTCACCAGACAGCGACAGGGCTGCCCCAAAAGAGTATCATGCTCAGAGGTATCAAGGCACTTGAGAAGTCCAGGATTAATGGAGTCACACGC